GACCACATTTCATGGTAAATGTTTTAGTTTATTAAATAAGTGACCACATTTAATAGTAAATGTTTTAGTTTATAAAGTAACTGACCACATTTAATAGTAAAAGTTTTAGTTTATAAAGTAACTGACCACATTTCATGGGTAATGTTTTAGTTTATAAAGTAACTGACCACGTTTAATGGTAAATGTTTAAGAAGTTTCTAAGCAGTAACATGAATCCCTATGATATCATAACAATTAAACATACTACAGGAAGCGGTGTTATATCCGGGAGCTTGAAATTGTTTGCAGTAAACACCCAAAGAAAAATACGTAGTATATTAGACTGATTATTAGGTATACGAATGTATATCAGTAAGTTTAGCAGTCATAAAACACACCATTAAACATTTTAAATACAAGCAAGTGATTCAATTGTTGGTATTCAGGATTAACTGTACAGTAAAGCATTTAATATAATATAAAGTTGATAATTACCGTGTATATTACACTTTACAGTTTTGGGAATTTAAAAAGTACGTATTTTTTTATGACATGTTGTAATCTGGCCTTCAAACAGAGTTGTTAGGGTGATTACATATTTGAGACATTTTCCTAATATACACTTGACTAGTTTTTACATTCCTCGTGGGTTAAAACACCAGTAGTGCTGGACACTGAGAATTCAACAACGGAAAGAAATACTGTGGAAGTTTACTATGATCAAATTTGATCATAATCTTGTTTCGTCTAAAGCTCTTGGGAAAAATCGAAATCTTGAAAAGAAACAAAGTAATAAAAACTGGGAATAACTTTGCTAGCTTTCTATCAAACCTGCCGCTTGGAGCGCGGCGATCAGCCCGATCACACTTTTCGGGCTCTGGTTTTCTACAATATTGATTGAACACGTGCTAATGGATTAACCACAATCATCGCTTAGCTTCTGTTCTAAAACCAGAGTCGGATTAAGAAGTTATGACATGGTGATCCGTAACGGAAACGATGCTTATTACTGGTTCGGAATTTGTTGTTTTACCCTTTGCTGTGTTGATTACTATGCGTCAAGGTCACTTGTTTTTTATAAGTCACGTGCATCCGGTAACGCAGCAGAAACAGTGTGTTAGCTCTGCCCTCGACGCTGCACGTACCCTGATCAATTTCAATCTATCATGTTTATCCAGCAAGTTTAAATATTGAAAACATCCTTTTATTTTCTGACTAAACAGAATTTCGCGATTCCCCTCGTTACAAAGTTTTAGTTGTTAATATTGATTTATAAATCTTGAGGGATGGAAATACTCATTTCGAGTAATAACAATGTTTGACTTTGTGACTTAGTCATAACTTGTTCACAATTCTCATTAAAATGTTAAAAAATGTGAACACTCCACTTCTAAATAATCCATTAACTGTTGTTTTCTAATACTTATCAGCAGGCCTGAGAACAGCAAGTTGGTTTGGTGGAGAGATAAGTTAGAATAAATATTACCCAACAGTTATGTAAACAAGTTGTTCCCTTTATTCCAGCTACTACCACTATTTTCATACCCGGTATCTCAAGTGATACCACTATTTTCATACCCGCTATCTCAACTGGTACCACTATTTTCATACCCGGTATCTCAACTGGTACCAATATTTTCATACCCGGTATCTCAACTGGTACCAATATTTTCATACCTGGTACCACTATTTTCATACCCGGTATCTCAACTGGTACCACTATTTTCATACCCGGTATCTCAACTGGTACTACTATTTTCATACCTGGTACCACTATTTTCATACCCGGTATCTCAACTGGTACCACTATTTTCATACCTGGTATCTCAACTGGTACCACTATTTTCATACCCGGTATCTTAACTGATACCCTTATTTTCATACCCGGTATCTCAACTGGTACAACTATTTTCATACCCGGTATCTCAACTGATACCCTTATTTTCATAATTTATACGCGCGTACGTGTGTTCGTGCGTTTACGCGTACCAAGTATTACGAAACTAATTTCTCACACTTAGGCCTACCAGTTATAATTAAAGATTTAAGACACTGACTGATTACGTTTCATCCATTGTTAACTGTACTTTGGCCACAGCGATTTTGTCTTACTTCCAATGAATCATTTGAGATACCGGGTATGAAAATAGTAGTACCAGTTGAGATACCGGGTATGAAAATAGTAGTACCAGTTGAGATACCGGGTATGAAAATAAGGGTATCACTTGAGATACCGGGGTATTATCGTAGACACAACATAAAATCAACGTATTATCGTAGACACAACACCTCTCTTCTGAATCACGGATAAAATCAACCCGTGATTCAGAAGTACAATGACAAGCAAATAGCTCAGAAATGTAAAGGTACACGAAAATAATTGTTAGTAATATTGAATGTGGTGTAGTTAGCCTACCCTGTAATAATACCACTGAGGTCAATCAAGGTCATATCCTTCAAAATTTTTATTCGTGTGAATTATAAACAAAAATATCAATTGCCAAGGTGTAGAAATAAGAAATTAAACATTTTAAACTAAAAAATACAACCGCCATAGGTAAACATATTAACAGTATTAAGAAACTGTCGTAAACAGTCAACAGATCTGTTGAAAGTTCTGCCCAATATAGCAACACATAATGCCAGCAGCCTGGTTATTCTGAAGACACTATTCATGCAGTACGTTAAACTGTTTTTACACTGAAGACCGTGCCAATATTTAGATGATTTGGAAGCGGCTTCAACACGGTGCTTGTGTGTTAACTTATGCAAAGGCTTTTTCATACTTTTAAGTTTTGAGCCCTTCAGAGGTGCAGTGAACTCCAATATTCTGACCATGCGAACCAAACCCAGTAAAGGTGTAGGTTAGTCGCAGCCTGATCTGAAGTTCTATCAGTAAATATGTAACTTAGTCGCAGCCTGATCTGAAGTTCTATCAGTAAAGGTGTAGCTTAGTTACAGCCTGATCTGAAGCTCTATCAGTAAAGGTTTAGCTTAGTTACAGCCTGATCTGAAGTTCTATCAGTAAAGGTGTAGCTTAGTTACAGCCTGATCTGAAGCTCTATCAGTCAAGGTGTAGCTTAGTCACAGCCTGATCTGAAGCTCTATCAGTAAAGATGTAGCTTAGTCACAGCCTGATCTGAAGCTCTATCAGTAAAGGTGTAGCTTAGTCTACAGCCTGATCTGAAGCTCTATCAGTCAAGGTGTAGCTTAGTCACAGCCTGATCTGAAGCTCTATCAGTAAAGATGTAGCTTAGTCACAGCCTGATCTGAAGCTCTATCAGTAAAGGTGTAGCTTAGTTACAGCCTGATCTGAAGCTCTATCAGTAAAGGTGTAGCTTAGTGACAGCCTGATCTGAAGTTCTATCAGTAAAGATGTAGCTTAGTCACAGCCTGATCTGAAGTTCTATCAGTAAAGGTGTAGCTTAGTTACAGTCTGATCTGAAGCTCTATCAGTAAAGATGTAGCTTAGTCACAGCCTGATCTGAAGTTCTATCAGTAAAGATGTAGCTTAGTCACAGCCTGATCTGAAGCTCTATCAGTAAAGGTGTAGCTTAGTTACAGCCTGATCTGAAGTTCTATCAGTAAAGGTGTAGCATAGTCACAGTCTGATCTGAAGCTATATCAGTCAAGGTGTAGCTTAGTCACAGCCTGATCTGAAGCTCTATCAGTAAAGGTGTAGCTTATTCACAGTCTGATCTGAAGCTCTATCAGTAAAGGTGTAGCTTAGTTACAGTCTGATCTGAAGCTATATCATTGAAGGTGTAGCTTAGTCACAGCCTGATCTGAAGCTCTATCAGTAAAGGTGTAGCTTAGTCACAGCCTGATCTGAAGCTGTATCAGTAAAGATGTAGCTTAGTTACAGCCTGATCTGAAGCTGTATCAGTAAAGGTGTAGCTTAGTTACAGTCTGATCTGAAGCTATATCAGTGAAGGTGTAGCTTAGTCACAGCCTGATCTGAAGCTGTATCAGTAAAGATGTAGCTTAGTTACAGCCTGATCTGAAGTTCTATCAGTAAAGGTGTAGCTTAGTCATAGCCTGATCTGAACCTATATTAGTAAAGGTGTTATATCAGTCAAGGTGTAGCTTAGTCACAGCCTGATCAGTAAAGGTAAAACTCTTTCTGTCGTCTCAATTTCTAACAGTATTTTATCAACAGTTCAATAAAAGTTATATGTAAACCTTCCTTAAGAAAGATTTCTCTAGACTCACCCTTTATCACATACTGACAAACTAAAGATTATGTGTGTTCAGGAAATGACTGTGATGAACCCCCCCCCCCCCTCTTCCGCTCTACCGGACCTGTCTGTAACTTCCTCGTGGAAAACTGCTCATTCCTACAACAACGGATTTCGCTTAGCTAAGTTTTATCTGCTTCCCGTATCCATAATCGTTAATAATATTTATTTGTTGTAGCTTCCATAGTGGAAGGATAAAGTTAGGGAGAGATATACCGTTTTTAGGTAATGTTATATTTCATGTCAAGATCTAATCTACGTTATGTTTTATTTCATGACATATTCTATTTTATGTCACAATCTATTTCATGAGATCTATTTCTTGTCACGATTTAGATCATAACGTGTTCTGTTTTATTTCACAACGTCCTGTTTCATATCAACGAATCATTGAGATAAAAATAACTTTATACCTCCAACAATTACTTAGATTGGAAAGGCATATCCCAAGAACGGATTATATAGATGTGAAAGGCATATCCCAAGAACGGATTATATAGATGTGAAAGGCATATCCCAAGAACGGATTATATAGATGTGAAAGGCATATCACAAGAACGGATTATATAGATGTGAAAGGCATATCCCAAGAACGGATTATATAGATGTGAAATGCTTATCGAAACAACGTGTTATTGACATGAAAAACGTACATATCCACCAACGTATCAGTGGAATCAGAAAAGTTATGCATACACAAAACCTGTTTCAGTACATCAGTTACACTACATGTCCAGCCAGATACAGTGAACCTGTACACACACACACACCATATGTTCAGATACAGTGAACCTATACACACACCACATGTTCAGATACAGTGAACCTATACACACACCACATGTTCAGATACAGTGAACCTATACACACACACCACATGTTCAGATACAGTGAACTTATACACACACACCATATGTTCAGATACAGTGAACCTATACACACACCACATGTTCAGATACAGTGAACCTATACACACACACCACATGTTCAGATACAATGAACTTATACACACACACCATATATTCAGATACAACGAACCTATACACACCACATGTTCAGATACAACGAACCTATACACACCACATGTTCAGATACAGATCTTTTCATTACTGTTGATAAAGTAACCTAATATGGTACTTTACTTCAACAATACACGAATCTGTTTACACAGACCTTTACATTAATGTTGATAAAGTAACCTAATATGGTACTTTACTTCAACAATACACGTATCTCTTTATACAGACCTTTACATTAATGTTGATAAAGAAACCTAAGATGGTACTTTACTTCAACAATACACGAATCTCTTTATGCAGACCTTTACATTAATGTTGATAAAGAAACCTAAGATGGTACTTTACTTCAACATACACGAATCTCTTTATACAGACCTTTACATTAATGTTGATAAAGAAACCTAATATGGTACTTTACTTCAACAATACACGAATCTTTTTATACAGACCTTTACATCAATGTTGATAAAGAAACCTAATATGGTACTTTACTTCAACAATACACGAATCTCTTTATGCAGACCTTTACATTAATGTTGATAAAGTAACCTAATATGGTACTTTACTTCAACAATACACGAATCTCTTTATACAGACCTTTACATTAATGTTGATAAAGTAACCTAAGATGGTACTTTACTTCAACAATACACGAATCTCTTTATACAGACCTTTACATTAATGTTGATAAAGAAACCTAAAATGGTACTTTACTTCAACATTACACAATCTTCATTTTGTGTATTATTACATCACTAATACTCTGTATATATTTCATAAGCAGTTTTACCCTATGACGTCATTTCCCTTCCACAATTTAATTCAAATATTTTAACAACATTTTTGTTTTCTTCGTGCAGTCTTTCGCTAGAAACGACAACGTGCTATCAAGCCTACTGCGCTCTGGAAAGTTGCCATAGAAATTCACGAGCCATATCGAACCACTGGATGGAATAAAAATCGAATCTACACGCACAAACTTCAACTTTAAACTCATTTCTTCGTAAACAAAAGTTCCAATGGAATTAAAAGAAAGCTCTCAATACACGCACTGTTTGAAGGATACGTGAATTCGACAAAGCCTCGATACCAGTCTTTCAGTCACGAATCAAGTGTTGACAGTTTAATTATAGTTCAAAAGGAAAACCCGACCTTTATGACTTTAGTTGAAATAGACCAGTTCTGACTTCTCCCGAGGACAGATTCAAAGTCTGTTGACTGGATATGTTACATTAAAGTTCAGAAGTAGCAAGGAAACTTCTATACGAAATACACTATAAATCATTACTTTCTGGCAATATTAATTAGCTAACCGTAAATGGTTCACCAAATCAGGTTGAATAAGGTAAAAGCAGTTCTGAAAGTTCCAACGGAACACATCGTGATAGAAACGCATAACAAAAACTAGGGTAAAATCCAGTACCCGAACTCGTACTGGGCGTGGCCAAGTGGATAGCGTGCCTGGACTGTGAAATCGATGATTCACAATCCCATGCCATGGGGCTGTTAGTAAGACTGAATCTCACTAATCAGTCAGACAAGAATTAGCGATGGGTGCTGTTGACTGACTCTCTTCACTCTATTCTATTAGTTTAAACGTAGGTACGCTAGATAGCCCTTAAGTACTTTGCGAGAGACCTGAAAAGAGCAAACAAAAACACCTTCGTTG